GGCACCAGAGGAAGATCCTGAATCTTCAAAATAGGCCATTTGAATTGGGGTTGTGGTTTTGCTCCGGCACTCACAACCATTGAGGAAGAGGAAACCTGGTGAGGCTTCTCAGCTTCAAACCCCTTGGACCCAGGACTAATAGAGACTGTAAAGTGTGTTTTCCTTCACCCCTCTAGGGTTTTCCAGTTTATTGCATTGAAGAAATGACTTTGTGACAAATAAAACTTGTTTTGAGTTATTTACATCGTTTTGGGTTCTTGGGAGTTCCAGTTTCCTAAAGGAGGGCAAGAAGCAATCCCTTGGGGGAAAGATGCCACGTCCATCCTCCTTTTAAGACTAATAGCCCCCAAGCGCGACGGCACAGCGACCATGTGGACAAAGACCAGAGGAAAGATGGATAGACACCATCAACAAAGACATGCGTGCCACCACCCTGAGACCTGAGGGAGCCCAACACAAAGCCCCGTGGATACAACAGTCACGATGCTAACCTCTCCATTGGGAAAACAGCTTAGAAAGAAGAAAGTGGATAGATGAATGGATGCATGTATTAATACATGGATGGATGGTTAGATAAATAGAAAAATGGATAGACACTACAGCACTGCATTTGGAGATTGCAGGACAGCAACCACGTGGACAAAGACCAAAGAAAAGGTAGGTGGACACCATCAATGAAGACATGCATGCAGTCATCCTGAGACATAAGGATGCCCAACACAAAACCACAATCACGATGCTCAGCTCTCCATTGGGAAAATGGCATTGCAAAAAGAAGGTGGATGGATACATGGATGAATACATGGATGGATGAATGGATGGATGGATAGCTAGATAGACAGACAGACAGATAGACAGATCAGTGGTTCTCAACCTGTGGGTCCTCAGATGTTTTGGCCTTCAACTTCCAGAAATCCTAATAGGTGGTAAACTGGCTAGGACTTCTGGGTGTTGTAGGCCAAAACATCTGGGGACCCACAGGTTGAAAACCTCTGAAATGGATGGATGGATAACAGATAGATAGATAGATAGATAGATAGATAGATAGATAGATAGATAGATAGATAGCTGTTGTTTAGTTGTTCATTTGGTTCCTAGACCAACCCATGTCAGAGCTCCCTGTCGGCTGTGGCCACCCCCAACTCCTTCAAAGTCAAGCCACTCACTTCAAGGATGACATCCATCAGATAGATAGAGAAATGGATAAATAGATACTACAGTACTGCATTTTGAGATTGCAGGACGGCAACCATGTGGACAAAGGCAAAATAAAAGGTGGATGGACACCATCAACAAAGACATGTGTGCCACCACCCTGAGACCTGAGGATACCCAACATAAAGCCCTGTAGAAAGGACAATCATGGTGCTCACCTCTCCATTGGGAAAATAGCTTAGAAAGAAGGAGACAGAGGCGTATAGGATGGTGCTCCAAAGGGTCACCACTTCTGCCCAGTGAATCATTGGCTGCCCTCTTTCTCCCCTCTTTGGAAGAGCTTTATAGATTTTGTAGCCTCAAGAAAGCTCAGAGAATTCTTGGGCATCCATCTCAACCAGCATATCATTTCTTTGAATTATTGCCACCTGGCAGACAGTACAAGGTGACAAAGGCAAGGACAAATAGACTGAGTGACAGATTTTATCCTAGAGCTGTAACTATACTGAACTCCATGTCTTTGCACTAATGTGGAATTGGGAGCTGTGTGGTGGTGGTGGGAGTGTGGAGGGATGGGGGTGTTGTTTTTGTGACGTGTGTTGGGAAAGGCAATTAATTTTGTTGTGCAATAACAAGACGACAATAAAGCTATTCTATTCTATTTATTCATGTATATACCTGGTGTTGCTTGGATGGCATTGGGACTACTGCCTACTTTCTCCCTTCTCCAGCTCTGAGAAAGAAGGCCTTCCTTACAATGCCTTATTATTGCCACCTGGCAGACGGTACAGGGTGACAAAGGAAAGGACAAACAGACTGAGGGGCAGCTTTTATCCTAGAGCTGTGGATATGATGAACTCCATTGCTTTGCACTGATGTGGCATTGGGGGCTGTGCAGTGGGATGTGAGTGTGAAGGAGTAGGTTTTTTTTATGAGGTGTGCTGGGGAAGGCATTTAATTTCGTTGTGCAATAGCACAATGACAATAAAGCTATTCTATTCTATTCTGTATTTGTGTATATACCCGGTGTAGCTTGAGTGTCATTGGGACTCCTGCCTGCCTACTTTCTCCTTTCTCCAGAAGGCCTTCCTTATAATGGCTTATTATTGTCACCTGGCAGACGGTACAGGGTGACAAAGGCAAGGACAAACAGACTGAGGGCCCTTCCACACATAATAATAATAATAATAATAATAATAATAATAATAATAATAAATTTATACCCCGCCACCCTCTCCCCAAACAGACTCGGGGCGGCTTACATGAGGCCAAACCCAACAATACGGCAAAGCAAATATCCAACATGAAAATGCAACAATAAAATATAATGAAAATAAAATACAAAATGATAGAAAAAACAATACAAGTAAATACACAAGGCGATATAAAATCACAATAATTGAATAATAGCAATTGAACACAATGGCCAGGGCCGATTGTAAAGATTAAAAGTTTAAAAACACTGGGTGAGAAAGCAATATAATGTATCTGGAAGGAGAATCAGATGGGACGAAAAACAATGAGGTTTAATTGCACTAGGGGATAGAATAAAGTGATTCTTAGGACATTTTATGTAGGTTTGGTCAAGGTCATGGATTATTATTCATTGAAAGCACACTGGAACAACCAAGTTTTCAGACTTGAAAACTGCCAGGGTGGGCGCTTATCTAATTTCTCCAGGGAGCGAGTTCCAGAGTCGAGGGGCCACCACAGAGAAGGCACTCTCCCTCGTCCCCACAAGTCGCACTTGCGACGGGGGCGAGAGCGAGAGAAGGGCCTCTCTGGAAGATCGAAGGGATCATGTAGCCATATAACCAGATTATCAAGGCAGATAACCCATAATATTACCTTTGAACTGGAATATCTGAATCCACCTTGCCATACATCCCAGTTCAAAGCAGCTTTTGCTGTGGTTATGTTGAATTGATGTGGCATTGGGGGCTGTACAGTGGTGGCAGGAATGCAGAGGGATGGGGGTGTTTTGTAGCGTTTTGCTGGGGAAAACATTTGCTGGGGAAAGCATGTTTTTATTGATATAGATTGTTTTTACTTGTTTTATATTTATATTAATGTTTTAATTGTATGTTTTTGGTCTTGGTGCTGACTGTAAACCGCCCTGAGTCGTCTGCAGGCTGAGAGGGGCGGTATACAAATATAGTAAGTAAGTAAGTAAATAAACAAACAAATACATAAACAAACAAACAAACAAATAAATAAATTTCACTTTACAACATACAGTGACAATAAAGCGATTCTATTCACCCAGAGCCGCATCTGGAAGGGGCCCTGGCAGCTTCCTCACCTTGATGCCTTCCTCTTCTTCTTTCCGGGGGAGCTCCAGCTCTTCCTCTTCGTCTCCTTCTTCGGTGATCACCAGCGGAGGAAGAGGGTGGCTTTGGGGCAGACTGGTCAAGAGAGGGCTGGGGTCACTTGCAGAGGTGGCCGGAGGGTGCCTTCTCCAGCCAAGCAGGATCTCTTTGGGGCCGGGAGGTGGGGACCTCACTTCCTGGACCTCTGGAGCTGGGTCTTCAAAGCTGTCGGTGTCTCTTGAGGGTCCAGGGCTTTCCTGGAAGAGGGGGTTGTCATAGAACAGGCACTCCATCTCCTCCTCTTCTTCTTCTTCTTCCTCCTCCTGCTCCTCTGGCATGCCTTCCTCCTCTTCTTCTTCCTTCTCATCCTCCTCTTCCTCACTGTCAGTGGTCAAGTGCAAAGGCTCCTGGGAGGGGCTCCCTACCTGCCGGTCGATCTCCCCTTGCAGCTCCAGGACGCAGAGCTGGGCCTGGCGGATGCTGGCCTGGAAGAGATCCAGTGTAGGGTCCTTGCCTGTTTTTGGGGGGCTCTCCTCCTGCATTAACGGTGGCCCCTCGTTAATGGTGGCCCCTTCTGCTCCCTGCCAGCCATCCAGCCACAGGTCGAGGTCTTCCAGCAGTGCAAAGGGAGAGGAGGGTCTCGTGCTTTCGGCCGGAGGGCTTGACCGGGTCTCTCCCAAGCCCCCGCGGTCCGCGCCTCCCCTTCCATAACGATCCGAGAAGACGTCCCTGAGTCCGGGGTCACCGCCGGGTGAAGAGGGCTCCATGCCAAGCCTCACCATGGAAGCTTCTTCCAGCGGAGGTCCTTTGGCCGCAGGGGCCCCAGTGCAAAAGGTTGAGCAAGGCCCATGGCGGGATCCACCTGCGAAAGAGAGGGGAGGAAAGACAAACACGGGGTTAACGTTTAATGGAAAGGCAGGCCAGGGAGCCACTGGCTTGGAGGACAGTCTGGCAGAAGCCTAGGATCCTAATAATAATAATAATAATAATAATAATAATAATAATAATAATACTTTATTTAAACCCTGCCACCATCTTCTCAAGGGGACTCGGGGTGGCTTACATGAGGCCAAGCCCAACAATACAGCAATACAAATATACAACACAGGAATGCAACAGTAAAATATAAATAAAATATAATACAAGAAATAATATAAATATTGTTTCTTGGCCCCGTCTGCCAGGAAGGAAGGTACCATCAGTACTAATGATAACAACAACAACAACAACAACAACAACAACAGGATCCTAGAGTTGGAAGGGACCCCCCAAAGTTTATCCAGTCCAGTCCCCTTCTGCCTGGAAGAAAAGTACCATCGGTACTGATGATGATAATAATAACAGAATCATAGAGTTGGAAGGGGTTCCTAAAGGTCATCCAGTACAGCCCCCTTCTGCCCGGAAGGCAAGCACCATCAGTAACAACAACAACAGGATCCTAGAGTTGGAAGGGACCCCCAGAGGTCATCCAGTCCAGTCCCCTTCTGCCAGGAAGAAAAGCGCCATCAATACTGATGATGATGACGACGACGACGATGATGATGATGATGATAATAATAATAATAGGATCCTAGAGTTGGAAGGGACCCCCAAAGGTCATCCAGTCCAGTCCCCTTCTGCCAGGAAGGCAAGCACCATCAGTAACAACAACAACAGAATCCTAGAGTTGGAAGGGACCCCCAAAGGTCATCCAGTCCAGTCCCCTTCTGCCAGGAAGAAAGGCACCATCAATACTGATGATGATGATGATGATGATAATAACAGAATCCTAGAGTTGGAAGAGGATCCCAAAGGTCATCCAGTCCAGCCCCCTTCTGCCAGGAAGAGACTATTGAGACCCTCACGGCCGACGGACCTGGACCAAACCTGGGACACAGACACCCCCCCCCCCCCCCCCCCCAAGATCCACTTTATATCCTGATGTGGTTTGGGGGATGATGGACTGCAGATGATAGGATTTGCAGTACCTTCATCCACCTTCATCCACATCCAGATATTAGTGTGACCCCCACGACTGATGGACCTGGGCCAAACTTGGGACACAGACCCTCCCCTTGACCCACTTTGGGGAGGATGGACCACAGATGATGGGATCTGCAGTACCTTCATCCACGTCCAGATATTAGTGTGACCCATACGCATGACGGACCTGGACCAAACTTGGCATACAGACCCTCCCCCTCCCCATGACCCACTTTATGTCCTGGTGCAGTTTGGGGGAGGATGGACCCCAGATGATGGGATCTGCAGTACTTTCATCCGCATCCAGATATTAGTGTGACTTCCACGAATGACGGACCTGGACCAAACTTGCCACACACACACCCCTCCCCCCAATGACCCACTATATGCCTTGGTGCACAGGTGGAGTTTGGGGGTGATTGAGTTCACCTGCATCCAGAGATCCTGTGACCCCCACCAACAATGGACTGGGACCAAACTTGGCACAGAGAAGCCCTATGACCAACTGAACATACTGCAGGCCTTTCTGGGAATGGATCTTGATTTTGGGAATGGTGGTTCACCCTTATCCAGAGAGCATTGAACCCACCCAATGATGGATCTGGACCACATTTGGCACACAAACTCAACATGGCCAGCTGTGCATACATGCCTGGTTTGTGGGAGGACTGGCCCACGATTCTGGAAACTGTAGTTCAACCACATTGCTATGTATTTTCTAATGGAAGCATTAAGAAACAACGAAATCAGAGCGTATTGTCGAAGGCTTTCATGGTTGGAATCAGTGTAGGTTTTTCAGGCTATATGGCCATGCTTCTAGAGCATGGCCATATAGCCCAAAAAACCTATAACAACCCAGAAATCAGAGTGGCCTTTTCCTAATAAATAGTGCTACTAATTAACTAAATGATATGACCTAACACCCCAAACAAACAAGGTCTTTCTCAAAGAACCCAGGCGCCGCCGGGTACCCAAGCTATTAGTAGCAGCAATAATTACTTATTTATCGTGTCAGGAGCAAACCAAACAGTTGTATTGCATTTTTAAATAAATAACAACAACAACAATAATAGTAGCAATAATAATAATAATAATAATAATAATAATAATAATAATAATAGAATCCTAGAGTTGGAAGGGACCCCCAAAGGTGATGCAGCCCAGCCCCCTTCTTTCTGCCAGGAAAGCACCAGTCAATCCCTCCCTACAGATGCCCACCCAGCTCCTGCTTAACAACAACAACAATTAGAAGGGACCCCTAAGGGCCATCCAGTCCAACCTCCTTCTTSCAAGCAGCAAGACACCATCCAATSCCTCCTGACAGATGGCCATCTAGTTCCTGCTTAATAAAAGTAATAATAATCTATATAAATAAAAATGTAATGTTCGTTTGTGGGATTAACATAACTCAAAAACCACTGGGTGAACTGATGAAATTTGGACACAATACACGTATCAGACCAACGAGTGTCCATCAACCATAAACACACATGCACGCGCRCACACAAAACCCCAGCGGAACAGACTTAAACACCCAAAAAATACACCATATACACATACACTCATATACATATGCAATGCACACATTTATACACACACATGTATATATATATGCACAAACATACACAAATATAYACATACACACACACATATATATACATATACACATATACATGCACACATACATATATACATATACACATGTAGGAGCCCCTGGTGGCACAGTGGGTTAAACCCCTGTGCCGGCAGGACTGAAGACTGACAGGTCGCAGGTTCAGATCCGGGGAGAGGCAGATGAGCTCCCTCTATCAGYTCCAGCTCCTCATGCGGGACATGAGTTAAGCCTCCCACAAGGATGATAAAACATCAAATCATCCAGGCATCCCCTGGGCAACGTCCTTGCAGATAGCCAATTCTCTCACAACAGAAGCGACTTGAGATCCTGACACGACCAATATATATATATATATATATATATATATATATATATATACACACACACACACATGTACATACAAATACATATCCTCATACATACATACACACAAATATGCATATAGACAAGCACACGCATATACACAATATGCATGTACACATATAAACACACAAATACATACACACACATATATACACCCACACACACACACACACATATACACAAAAAAAACACATATACACAGACTGGGCCAGAGCAATGTGTGGCAGGGGATGGCTAGTAATAATAATAATATTAATAATAATAGGAAGGGACTCGGGGGTCATCCAGTCCAACCCCCTTCTGCCAGGCAGGAGAAGCACAAGCAAAGCCCTCCTGACAGATGGCCACCCAGCCTCTGCATAATAATATAGAATCCTAGAGTTCAAAGGGACTCCCAATGGTAGGAAGACACCATCCAAGCCTTCTCGCAGCCTCTGTTTATTATTGTTATCTTATTATTATTAATTTGAACCACAGAATGCCAGAGCTAGAAAGCAGCCCCGAAGGTCATCCAGTCCAACCCCTTTCTGCCAGGCAGGAAGACATCATCTAAGCCTTCCTGACAGATGACCATCCAACTTCTGATTATGATGATGATGATTAGGATAGAACCACAGAATGCCAGAGCTGGAAAGTAGCCCCGAAGGTCATCCAGTCTGACCTCCTTCTGCCAGGCAGGAAGACACAGTCTAAGCCTTTCCAACAGATGACCATCCAGCTTCTGATTATTATTATTATCATGACTAGGATAGAACCATAGAATTCTAGAGCTGGAAGAGTCCCCCAAAAGGCTATCTAGTAGAACCTCTTCGGCTAGGCAAGAAAAGCACCATCTAAGCCTTCCCAACAGATGACCATCCAACTTCTGATTATTATGATGATGATGACGATGATTAGGATAGAACCATAGAATGCCAGAGCTGGAAAGTAGCCTCGAAGGGCATCCAGTCCAACCCCTTTCTGCCAAGTAGGAAGACCTAACACCCCAAACAAACACCATGTAAGCCTTCCCAACAGATGACCATCCAGCTCCCTCCTCCTCCTCCTCCTCCTCCTCCTCTTCCTCTTCCTCCTCTTCTTCTTCTTCTTCTTCTTCTTAGAATAGAACCATAGAATGCTAGAGCTGGAAAAAATCCCCCAAAGGCTATCTAGTCCAACCCTCTTCTGCTAGGCAAGAAAAGCACCATCTAAGTCTTCCCAACAAATGACCATCCAGCTTCTGATTATTATTATGATGATGGCGACTAGGATAGAACCATAGAATGCTAGAGCTGTGATATCGAGCGGAAGAGTCCCCAAAAAGGCTATCTAGTACAACCTCTTCTGCTAGGCAAGAAAAGCACCATCCAAACCCTCCCGACAGATGCCCATGGAGCTATATTAAGTAGATAAAGGCTGAAAACCGCTCTCCAGTCCAATCCCTTTTCCTTTCTGCCAGAGCAGGAAAAACACAACCTGAGCCCTCCCGACTGATGGCCAGACGGAGAAGGGAAGGCCTTTCTCTTCCCGGAAACTTCCCAAAAACATTGCAGAGTTTGGCTAAAGGCTCTGATTTCCCGGAAGCTAGCCTTACCTGCCCGGAGGAGGAGGAAGAAGAAGAGGAAGAGGAAGAAGAGGGGGGTGCGTCTTGCAGATCTCTGTGGGACCCCTCCCTCCGGAAAAGGAGGAGGAAGAGGAGGAGGAGGAAGCCCCGCCCCTCGCCCCTGGCCCCGCCCCCTTCGAACACAGGCAGGAAGGCTGGCCGTTCTTGGGATGGGGAGGACACTGTGTATCTCAAGGCCAAAACAAAAAGGCTTGGGACACAAACTGCAACATTATATCCACACAACACTGTGACTTTTGTTCCTGTGTTGCCAATGCCATTGCCTAAGCGGTTCTGGCCTAAGAACATTGATGGGAAAAGTTTATGAAACTGCTCAAAC